TTCAAAATTCTCCTGGATCCTTTGATTCCACTCTTTATAGGACACCGACTGTTCTGTTCCTGGAAAAATGACACTGTAATGGTTATGATATCTTTAAAATATATGAAAAATGATTAGCATGCTGTCAGCTGATTATACTGTATCATAACAGTGAATCGTGATACTACTGAAGGTATGTATTTTCAACAGGACAGGAATGACTAGACTTAAAAGTGAGTCGCTGTAGCAACATTCCTCTTGCTCTGGTAGTAGTTTTAAAATTTTTTGGAGGAAAATAAATAAAGTAAAATTAAATTCATTACTGGTACCTTATTTTGTAATAATAGAAAATAAAACTAAAAGATTTAATTACTGGAACCTTATTTTGTAATAAGATTTTTTTTAAATCCGCCTTGAAAGAAAAAATACTGGTACCTTATCCTATAAGAAAAAATAAAATAAAAACTAAATAAAATAAAATTACAATTTAATTACTGGCACCTTATAATTCAATAAATACAATTAAAAATAAAAATAAATAAATATTTCATTATTGCCACTTATCTAACACAAAAAAAAATCAATTTCTGGCACCTTATTTTGTAACAAACAATAATAAATAAACATTGACAGTTTCATTGAGAATGAGAAAGTATTAAAGAGGATGTACCATCTCTGTGTATTGTGACAGAGGAGTATGGGAAATTTCCATTCTCATTCATCGTCATCAGCCAGCGCACCGCTGACTTACAGAGACCCACAATCTCCACCGCAGAGCCGTCCCTGCACATAAACACAACACCATTATCCACTTGACGTATTGAGGACTGGTTTATCCAAGCTCAAAGCTACTCAGTCTCAGTGGTTCACACTGAAAGAGTTCTTTTGTGCTAAATATAGTGGAGCATTATTATATGGGTTTAGCATGACAGGTATGTTAGCGTGTAGTTATAGTACCTAGGTGTGGCTGGAACACCTCTATTATGGGCTTTGTCACTCTCTCCCATTTTATCCATCCACGTCCCACAGTTGAAGCGATTT